GTCTCCGGATCAAACCGTAATTGCGTGAGAGCCACATTTTTGTCAGAACTCAGCACTTGCCGTGAGGAAATTGCGCAGGCGCAATCAAGGGAAGCATGAGTGGTGCGGCAAGTCTGACAATCAAACTAGGACAAGCGATACGGCTGCTGGATGAACAGGATCGCACATCTTCGACGATGATTGACAGGGAAGGCAGGGTAAGTTCAGACGGTCAGATCCATGGGCTGGTCGGATATCTCAGCCAGGGCGCATTCGGCGCAACCGAGAGCACACATTGTCCCGTGTCACGGACGTGTTCATGGATCGCCCAAGATGAAGCATTACGCATGAATTGAGAGGGTTCGATATCCTTCCGCCAAGCTTCCTCGGATGTTCTTTTACACGTGGCGCAGAGCTATACCAGGCTCGCCGGAAAGGCAAGGAACTTGCCGTGCGGCTCAATCATTGAGTATCTGGAGAGTCACAGGACTGGGCCGACGTCTGTCTTGAAGGTTTCCAGAATGCGGTCTGATTAGCCCGCGTAATAAGTGCTTTTGGAGTAGATGTGGTGGAATTCCTTGATAGAGCATGCGTTGCAGCGCATTGGGGATGGCCAGAACAGATGCTGTCGTCTCCAAGGCCCGAATGTCCGAGTTACCACTGATGTCCCTTGCTGGGCCGAAAGCAAGCTGATCCGTGCGAGATGGCACGGGCATCGGATTCTGCACATCGAGACGGCCGGTCTCCAAGAGGCTTGACAACCCGGTGTCTATCAGTATGCAGCATCCATTGCTTACCTACATGTACCTTACAGTCAAGATATGGTTCTTAGTCTCGACAGCACAGGCCGATGGACCATACACTTGCTACTTGATGTTCAAACTCGTTGCTCTCCGAGCATCGCACTTGATACGACACACGAATGTCTGCCGCTCCGGCTCAGTTCCGTCTTCGACTCTGGCACATCCATCCATCCATCCAATTCATCAAGCCACTGCACCCTAATTATCGCGTGCAGGAGCGAGTGGAGTGGGCTCATTCGGTGGCTCAACCGCTCGCTGGCCGTTTGCATCTGACTGGGAGCTTATGAAAGGTACCTGCCTCCCTTAACATGCAAGGGACTGGCGAAGCGTCCTCAGTGCTACATTGCTACGCAACTGTACCTAAACAATCAGGCGAGGGGAAATATCTCGGCTCTGTCCAAGGGGGTTTTCCCATTTGTGCCCCACCTTCCACACACAGACAGCCCACAAGTTTTACGCCGTTCCTTCCCAAAATTTCTCCAAAAAAGAATACCTTGTACATACATACCATACTACACCACAGTATCTGTATCTGAGTGAAAACCTCGTCGCCGCTGTGTGTGAGGTGCAAGCTCCGTGCCCCGAAGACTACATAGTAAGAGGCTAAGACTTGCCCATCTCCACCTCTGCACACCCTTCCAACTCACCCCCTGCCATGCGGTTCATCGGGGCATTTTCCAAACTGACTGAAGCGCTCCTCGGGCCTGCCCAGTCACCGTTCTTCATCCCGTCCTGTCCCCTTAGAGTCGAGGTACCTAACGATGACCTGCATAGTAGCGTAAGATCTTGCCTCACTGTGATGCTGTGGTATTGTCCGTAGAACAGCCTGGGAAGCACCGACCGGCCGAAGCGCACAGTACCTGCCCAAAGGCTACCTTGTCATACCTACGCACTGTACCTTCCCTCGACTGCTGTGGGTAGATGAGCGTACTACGTACCTTACCTACCTACACCTTTACCTTAGTCGCCTCCTCCTGCAGTGACTGCCCACCTGCCCCTGCTGCACTGCACACATGCACCCGCACTGCACCGTATTCTGGCAAACGTGAGAAACCTAAGCCAGCCAGCCAGCCCAGACAGAACTCCCCATCACAAGCACAAGGGCAAGCCAGCAAGAAAAAAAAAAGCACCCGGCCTGCTGCCGCAAAGTAGAGAAGAACCGAATTTTCACCACGCAGATCTCTTGTCGGACCTTTCAGATAAATTGGCCTTGAGACCTACCCACTTCTTTTCTGTGTCTGTCTCTTGATTTCTCCAAAGGACACGCACCATCTACCACTACTACTACTACACACCTACCTACCACCGTATCTACCTTCCTAACGGAAGAACCTACCGCACCATACAAAGTACAATACAGAGGCAAGTCCCCGGTCTCTCCGCTTTCTGCCCATCCCATCCACCTCTCTCATTCCGTCTCCCTTACATACACTACTGCGTACGCTCTGCACTACGGACCTTCGTCGTCGACACTCTTCATTTTCTCTCCTTCGACATTGTTCGTTTGTGGGTTTGCGCAAACAGACATCTCTCCCTCCAATTTCTCGCTCACCGCTCACCGAAAACTTTCCCATCTCAATCTCAACGAAAAATCGATCGGTAATCTGGTAGGTACCCCACATCTTCAGCGCCTCCCCCACCTTCCCAGCTTCGAAAAGGCTTTTGCGCTTTTCCAAATTTCAACTCGACCGCAGACAAGCAGTCGTCGACCTTCTCTCAATCCGACCCAGCACTCTGGTTCCTGGTTGCCACCTACTGACACCTCTTTGGACACAGCCAATCGTCCTGACATCTATTCAGCCCTACCATCAAGCTCAGCCCTACTACCAAGGCCAGAATACAACATGGATTTCGGTGGAAACACTGGCGGCGGCCGTGCCTGCTTCACCTGTGAGTCCCTTGATGAGCCCTGTCCGCGTTGTTCATCTGTCCCACGAGCCCCAATCACCTCATAAAAGGCTCCGGTCGTCCTATGACCCTTGCCTGGCATTCACTTCCACCCCTGCTTCTCTCTATTGTACACCATTATACATGTCGGGTGCGAAAATTCAAACCCATTCGGCTGTAGCCGTATTGGCGAAAAGTTTTTGAGATGGCCTTTACCTCTCTCATATGAGCCTGATCCTGTTCTCACATTGGAAAAACTCACAGTCCTCATCATGGGGACTATTGAGTCACCACATGTCATGACGAACCAGTTCTAAGAGCCGTTATTCAGGCTACAACTTCTACTACCCCTTACTATCGTATTGAAAATTGATGTGGTGTGCGCGAAGTCTGACAAGAAGAATTTTTAGGCGGCCAAACTACTCACCAGGTATGCACCAAGTGCTGGCTTGAGAGATTGAATTAAGTACCTGATTGATCGAAAACTGACATCTCATATCACAGGCCCGTGACTGCCCCAACCGTGGCGCAGCCAAATGGTGAGAACCCTCATGCCCCCTTTGAATGGACAATTCGAACGTTGACTGACCAATGGCATAGCTACAACTGTGGCGGTATGTCTAAAATGCATCTTTCTCCAGGTTTACTTGCAACTGACCATTGATTCGTTGATCTCAGGCGAGGGTCACATGAGTGAGTGAAAGCGTTCGATCTGCGAAATTCTGCACATCTAACAAGTCGCAGGCCGTGATTGCCCGGAGGGCCCTAGAGAGGCCAAGACGTGCTACCGATGCGGACAGCCCGGCCACATCTCTCGTGACTGCC